GAAAGCATCAAGACCAGCATGAAGTCTCAGTGGGACGAAAAGGCCAAGAGATTTGTTGTCATACCCTCCTTTTTGGGGCTGATGGGTATTGCATTGAGTTTTACAGTTAGCGTGTCCAAGACTGGTGGGCGACCGGCGTTTTGTGGCTATATTCAAATGTGGTATCATTCAGCCCAAAACCTTCAATTGCTTCACCCAATAATCTGGCCGTTGTTCTCAAATGTATTCATAGATGGAATTGGAACGGGCTAAAATTGCCATCTAAGCAAAGGATGTCTCATTAAATCATAGTCATGGTATCATTAGCTTGTGCCACAAAAATAGAGACAGAGATGGAGAGGTCCAAGACCCACATTCTCCACCAGTATTTAATTCTTCTCGCATTGGTTAAAAATAGTTTTGATCCATTTTCCCTCACTTTAAATTCTGTTTAAGCTGATTTGGCTGATGTGGACGTTAGCTGGACCCATTGGCGTGACATCAGAGAGGCACCGCTGCCAATAGGAAACAAAAGTTCAATCCATTTTCCATAAATAGGATGCCAAGACCTTCACTTTGTCCCAACTTTTTTTGTAGTTGGGGCACAAAAGGCCATCTGATATGAAACTCTTTCATTAAACTCAGTGCAGTACTCATTAGATAAACATCTGGTTATGGAGACTGCTTTCCCTCTGTCACTGATTTATTAATATTATTATTGTGCTTAGCAGGATTGGAATCAGCAGTGTAAGCCAAACAAAATTGAGTTTTGCCCCACCAGTGTAAGATATTACAAGACAAGCTTTTTTGAATGAAAGTGCACAAAGGGAGAGTGTCTCACTACAGAGGGTAGGAGGGAAGTAGGTGGGTGGGGATGTCCTATGGGAGCCAACCTGTCTACTGTAAAACCAGGCTGTGAACATACACCTGTTCCCATCCCAACTGTCCCCCGTAATTGAGCACTTCTGAAACTGGGGCAGTCAACACGGCAACTTTCGGTCCTAGTGAACGGTTTTGGTTGCTGCCCCCCCGGATATTGTTGTCTGCAGCCCAAATAAATTAATTTATAACACATGGGTTAAAGAGCAGAACATTGACCTCATCGCAGATTTTGTTAGATCATAGAAGTCATAAAAATAACAATAAATAAGGTAAATAAATAAATAACAACCAAAATGGCAAAGTTTAGCCAAGTCTGGAGGTTTAAGATTCTAAATTGTACATTATGAGACAAAGGTAATGTTGAGTCAGCACATTTAAAAACACCAGGAGCATGGCTCCTATTAGCGGAATTAAAGCCAGATGGGTTAGAAGATTCCTTTGGTAATTACCCGCAGAACCGGTGTTGCTGGCATCTCGTCCTGAGAACTCACACCAGAGTGACCCCATATACGTCATATCTATATTTAAGAAATTTCACACAAGCAAAGGAGTTCTTAGTGTATAAATGTAGTATAAAATGTAGTATAAAATAAAAGTATAAAATGGCTTTTATATATTAAATAAACAAGAATTTTATATTTTGTAACTTACATTTGAGACAAAAGAGCACAACCATTGCGTGTCTCTGAGCAGAATTAAGTAGTGGTATTTCATTCAATGTTTTCAAATGAATCGGTTGAGTCAGTGATTCAATGACTGACTCTATATAGAATCACTGAAACATTTGATGATTTCAAAATACTCACTAGCCTACTACTCATAATATTTTTAATAATTTGTATATGAAAGGAGTAGTAGAGTAGTATACTATGCTGCTTAAAATTCAGAAAGTCACTTGTTTCATTCTTGACCGAATCAGTGTTTTTGAACAAATCAATTGATTGATTGAATCAGTGACTCACTCATAAAGATGGTCACTTGCTGTAACCTGCAGGAAGTCACTCCCACTATCGTTATTAGTTAAAATAGTTAACATTAATTTAAATAAAGCTAAAATGAAATAAATTAAAAATAAAAATAAACATTTTGAAAATTAAATTTGAAGTGCTAAAATTTCTAAAACTGAAATATAAATGAAAGCTAAACAGAAATATAAATAATAATAATAAAATTGACAGAAGCACAAAACTTACTAAAACTTAAACTAAAATTAAAATGAAAACGTGACAATTAAAAAAAAAAAATGTAATTACAAATTTTAATATCATAATAGTATATAAAGAACACTAAAATAACACTGGTCTCTAGTCCTCATCACTTATACAGAGACCCAAAGTCCGTATGGAACACGCAAACACAGACAATGGCTTGCTTATAGATATCTCTGCATGTTAAACTGAGATTAACATCCAAAATATTACTCACATCACTTTTAACGAGCAAATAATTTGGACATGTTCTAGATGAGTCATACTCAAATTCACTATCCAGTGGGGAGCAGCCATGTGATTAAACAATTACTGCTGATGTGGCACCATTATATATATAAAAAAGAAAAGGTTGAATGCAGCACCTGTTCCTTTGGTCCAGTGGCTGGTGCCAGAAAAAGCCTGCCTAATGGGCTGACAGGACCACAGGGAACACAGCTGCCGCTCACAGCCCTGCCTGTGTGTTGGGATGATAAGCCTCCCGGTCCCCCGCTGCTCTTCCATCCCTCCTGTCCTCTCCATCCTCAGTGAACAACAGAGAAAAATCACAAAAAATAGAAATGGATCAGAAAACTAGCAAATGCAAAAGTCTGTCCAAATTGAATGGAGTTTCTTTTATGTCTCAGGGAATCTCATTAGAAAGTACATAACAATAAGACAATTTGTTTTGTTGAAGTGTCCGTGAGTGAAAAGATCTCAGGCATCTTGGCCCCTCAATATGGGCTCCTCTGCCTTTGATCTGATATTTGGAACCGGCCAACAGAAAAATTTCACACGAAAATGAAAATTCTCATTTACTCAGCATTTAGTTCAAAACCCATATGACTTTCTTCTTCGCTATTCAAACAGAGATATTTTGAGGGCTGTTTTACCAAAGTATCATAAAAGTGGTCCATACAACTTAAGCACTATATTACAAGTCATATAAAGTCATACAATATCTATGTGCGAGAATGCATTTATGTTGTTACTCACTGAAAAGTTTAGATTTGCAAATGAGTCATTCGTTTGAGTCAAACCAAAGTTTGTAAAACTCATCTAAATGATTCTTTCAAAAATTAGACCCATCTAGTTTTCAAGTTCAACTCACTGACTCGATGATTCAGTCGCAGTGATTAACACTGATTTAGTGTTAATCAGGCTGAATTTATTTTGCTACTTGCTGAAAAGTTCAAATTTGTAAATGAATCAATCTTTTGGGTCAAATGAATGAATGATCCAGATCATAAAACTAATTTAAATGATTATTTCACAAATTGGACTGATCCAGTTTTGAAGTACAACTCAGTGACTTGATGATTCAGTTGCAGTCAGGCTGAATTTGTTATTTCTCCCTGAAAAGTTAAGATTTGTAAATTAATCGTTATTTGTGTCAAATCAACGAATGATCCAGTTCATAAAACGAATAATTATTTCACAAATTTTAACTGATTAAGTGTAACTCACTGACTCAATTCAGTCGCAGTGATTAACACTGATTGACTCTATTCCTCACACAAAGCAATCATAAGGCTTCACAAAACTTTAAATGTGACACACAAGTCATATGGACCATTTTAAGATAAGTTTATGGTGCATTTGCACCATTTTTAAAGACTGAAAACTTTTAATGGAAAAAAGAGGCCAGTACAGCCTTTCGAATTTCCTCTTTTGTGCTCCACAGAAGAAATAATGTCAGATTTGGAACAACATGAGGATGAGTTAGTCAATTTTCATTTCTGGGTGAACTTATTCACATACAGTATGATCTATCTCTTAGCTTCTTCTCTTTCCCGATAGTTCTTTCCCTCTTCCCCTCTTTTCTCAGTGTGGGCATGAGTGTGTACAAAACGATGTTTGTTTCAGTACAGTTATTTCATGATTCCTCCCTGTTCCCATGGTTCTTCAGAAGCCCAGAGTAAACCCTATTACTCCGATTACTCACCTACACGGCTTCTTATCCACAAGATGTGCACCAGCCACTATCTGGACCTGTTCATCACGATTGTCATCGGGCTCAATGTCATCACCATGTCCATGGAGCACTACAAACAACCTAAGGTAGAACTTTTTGGAACGCAAGCAGTGAGAGTGTATGCGCTTGTTGATATTCCATTAAGGAAATGCACTTGCTGGTTATGTAACTGCAAACAACGTTCATCTCACCGCTATCTCATTTTATGGCTCTGCAAAATATTTGCTGATAAGGCAGCTAATGTTTATGTACTCTTGTTGATGTTCTGCATTTCGGTTATATCATAGCAGTGCGTATATCATTTTAATCTTTATACTATTATACTTAGCTGCACTTTCATTGTGCTGCTCCAGGACATTTTGTACCATTGCCTGTCTCTAAAGAAGCCTTATGCGAGTAATGCCTCACCAAAATAAACCACATTGTAGTTTATTGGCTGAAATTTATGCACATTCCCTCATCTGCATTATTTATCTCTCCTCAAATCAAAACAGGTGTTTACTCTTCCTATTAGTCAGCTCTGTTGTGATGCTGTGGTTATAAATAGCAGTCTGTTTTAATTAGAGCCCTGGTGGTCTGTAGAATCTTGGAGGAAGTGGAGCAAAGGGGATTGTTAGGCTCTGACCACTTACACTCTCATTCCGTGAACAGAATCAATTGATTTTCCGGTGCGTCGTCACACTTAGTCTGGCTTTAATTACTGTGTGGTGGACGGGGGAAAGGCCAGACCCCTGGAAATGTCCACTGACTGTCAGACCCTGAAGATGCCAGCTAATGATTGGTGTTTCCTTTGGGCTAATCTAACTATCTTTTCCACTTCTTTTCCACTTATTGATAATGGAATGACTTATTTGGCCATCATTCGGCCTACAGTTTGTGTATTCATTAATTTATTTTTCTGAAAGAGCAGATACATGCTTGTTTTAAGCTTTGTTAATTCTGTACTTTCACTATTACATTCTCTTTGCAACCGCTGTGTTTTAACAGGTTCTGGACGAGGCTCTGAAGATCTGTAACTACATTTTCACAATCATATTTGTCCTAGAGTCCGTCTTCAAGCTTGTTGCCTTTGGATTTCGACGCTTCTTCAAGGACAGGTAGTAGATGTAACTCTCACAAAAGTTCTCAAAACCAAATGATATTTACAGTGAAGCCATTCCCATGGATGTACTCCAATGCCCCTATAAGTGAATCTTTTTTTTTCTTTTTTTGTGATAGGGTTTGTTAGTATTCCTAAAGCCACATCCTTTAAAAATTATATCACAGCTTTGAGATTCCTTGGTTTGCCTCAGACTGTCAGAAGCACATTGAGGGCTGAATGCACTGGCGTCTGTGGTAAAAAACAAGAACCAAATTTATATCACTTGTGGTTTTGGTAAAAGAAACCCCTCTTGAAATATCCAAAATCACACTGCCTGGGGCTTAAACAATGAGAAAGCATCCTAAATGGCGTTTATTCCTCTTAAATTAGTAACAAAGAAGTGGTAAATGCTTTATTCTACCATTTTAATATGCATAGCATATGTGTAGGCAAAATTGAACACACACGTTCTCTATATAGAGTTTGAATGATCCATTACTCTTTTAATTGGTTTTGAATAATCAGTCAATATGAGGATTAGGCCCTTTACTGAAGTTGATAGGCCATTAGAAGTTCTCATGTAATCAGCTTTTTCTTTCAATAGTTTCATAAAGAGCATATCATGTCAATGTATTCCCTGATCCCTAATCCATGTGTAGGGAAATGTAAAGCAGCTATTTGCATACTAATGAGAACTTTGACACAACATAATTGATATGATTTTAAAACAAATCTCTCACCAAAGGCCCTCCCATGAGTTGAAACTACTGTCAGACATTTCAGAACATGCTGTTCAGGAGGTGAGGGTTTAAGAGTTTTATTGATTTACAACATTGGAAATGATCGGCTCTTTCGTGCAACACACTCCAAGTCCACAGGGATGGAGGATGGAAGTACACTTTGATCACTGGGTCCATTAGCGAGCTAAACTTGTGGGAAAAATGAAGAAATGCTTTGTGTTAATCATTTGACTTAAATTTCCCCACATATCTAATGAAACACCTCTCATGGCTGCAGGACCCATAAAATTGAGGTGTCCTAAAACAGGCTGTAGGCTCTACCTCACCCATGACAGTGTTATATTTGACCCTGAGAGGGAGTTATTTAAAGTTTGTCACAAAGTTTGAAGCCATATTTAGACAGTGAACATGCTGAGAAGCTTGCTAGAAAAGAGAAGTAAAATCCAGGGTCAAATAAGGGTTATTCACACAAAATGAAGCTTCAAATTTTCATTGCTTTTCATTTTTGAAATAGTGTTGCACACTTTGCCTGGTGTATTTAAGGATACTATGCTACCTTCAAGTCCTTTAAAGTTGTAAGATTGAGGAAGTCATTTTGTGAAATTTAAGTGATTTTGAAAATGATCACATTGGGCAATTTCATATTTCATTCACTCTTTTTGACAAAAAAAGAAACATGAAATTTCTCTCTTATTGGCGAAGCAAGTTGGAATAACAAATAAAGGATGCACTTAAAATGTGTAGTTAACAATGTAGAATTTTGGATAATGTAATTTTGCTTTATAGACAGTTAAATGTGTAAGATTTTCTGACAATCGTTCATCAACGGTATATAAAATGTATACTAAATAAATTGTAACGTCAACAAAACTATTTTTTCTTAAAACTAATAATTTAATTTAATAATTTTAATTTAGAGTAGATAAATACGATTGAATTGCGGTAAATTGTAACAGTAACAAACAATTTTTTTTTAATTAAAACGAATCATTTAATAATTTAATGCAATTCAATTTAATCCAGAATAGATAAAGACAAATGAAACACGTTGTAACATCAACATAAACAAAACATTTTTTTAACTTTAATAAAAATATTTTTATCCCAAGTAGGTAAATACAACATTCATGTGAGCACATCTTATAAATACAGTCATTCTGACATGATTTGAAGGCAGCATTACTCTCTTATTTACTATTACAGTTTTTCTCGATTGCTTAAACACATTTCTTGAAACTATGCCTCGTATTCTCAAAACAGTAAACACAAATCCATAACGTCTCACCCAATTCCCCAAACATCCTATTTTCAGGTCAAAAAGAAGCTCTACACTCAAAACCATTCACTCTTGCTGAAAAACCAAACTTTTCCCTCAGACATCACACACAAGCTTTCAAAAACACACACACTACAACATAGTATTACACACTGGTGCAATAAATTCAAAACAATATATCCAAAACTGGTAAGTTATGTTGCTTGTGGTTCTCCCCCTCAAAAACCTTTTCACATGAACACAAAAGACACAACCAATGTATACATTGGCACATTTTTATTAATTCATGTACTACACCGCACAACTGGTACACAATATTTCATACGATATCAAAACTCATACCTGAACATATTCCACTCGTTGGTCTTTCACTATGTCAGAGTTTCGTTCGAAAGGAACGCGGTACGCCTGTTTCATCCGGAACTGATGCTTTCGGAGGATACGATCAATTGTGGAGAGGCTGATGGCATTTATCCCTCGAAAATGATGATTATCCTCAATCACTCTCCTTTGAATCTCTCGCAGGCAGATTACATTATTGGCAATGACCATGTTTACAAGCTCCCTCTCTTGCTCCTCTGACAAAAGCCTTAGCCTGCCTCCACCAGGTGGTCGTCTCTGTGTCCTACAAAAATAGAAGCACTCATTACTGTAACTCATCCTTTTTACAGGAAAAAATGGAAACATACAGAAACTCTATCTGTATGCGAGGCAATTTGAAGTATTTCTTTATTACAGTAGCATAGTGCAACAGTGTATGCACTCTAAAGTTACTGTACAGAGCAGTCTTACTGTAAGTACACCTACCTGTTTTCCTCCCTAAAGGTTCTGATGATTGACATGTCATGTCTA